AAACTAGCAAATTTGGGCAGAGTAAACAAGCTGTGGAAGTTTTAAAGTCAGCCACTGATATCAACAGAATATAAGATGTAAAATAAATGTTATGAAGTACCCAGCATTCTTTATCTTTCAACATTCCAGCCTCAGGCTGCTGTAGCTACCTGATAAAACCAAGCCTGTAGCCTAAAGAAACCATACCCGTAAGTTCACAATTAAAGAGAATCCTTATGATTCACTTTATCTAGTTCTTGCCTTTCTCTCACACACACACCATGCAACCATGCATTTCCTATTGTAAAGGTATTAGAAAATTCCAACATGCCCCAGAAAACAAATACTTTGTTATTTTTATAAGTCAATGTATCTACCAATCCATCTTGGTTTTTTTTTTTGTGCGTGTGTTCTACCTACTTTGAAAACACCCATTAAAATGGTCGTCTAAACACAGTTTCTTAAGGTCTGATGTATCAAATATGTGTAAAGTGGTATGACAAGCACATGGGCTCTTGGCAAGCAATCATCAGTTGTTATAGGACAAACATCACTCATGTAGTTTCTTTGATTCAATGAGTTCAACTTTGTGTTTTACTTATTTGTGAGGTATAAAAGTATTATTTATTTGTGAGGTGTAATAGTATAGCTAACTGTCTGAAACCTGAAAATCAGTGTCCTGACTTGTAAAATGAGATACCATGAGGAATATCAAATACTTATTTAAATGAGATGATATATAAATTGTTTACTAGCAGCGTGTTGGCTTTTATAAAGGGCTCAACAAATATTACCAATGATCATCATTGTATTGGTGCACTCAGCTTACCACTGCAGGTTCTAGTTGCTATGCGAACCCCGACATACCAATGCTACTGTTGGTATGCATTCTTTTTTACATATAATATTGGACAATCTATTTTACTGAGATTAACAATGCCATAAAGGGGTGTTCAAAACCTGCAAAACATATGCAAACTCTATTTCCCCAGCTCGACTCACTAAAGAAACATATTTACTCTGCTATCAAAAGCAGTGGTATGACGGCCCTCCCTGGTGGTGCAGCGGGTTAAAGCACAGCACTGAGAAGCTAAAGCCATTTCCGCATGAGTTCGATCCCTCCTGCCCCGGAGGGGATACACGGTGTGGCAGACCTCTCCTGACCGCCCACTGCTCCCCTCAGCAGTGTACTTCGTAGATCTGCCTGTTCTGCTCCCCACTCTGTCTCTGGTGAAGCCTCTCACCGCCCCTGAGCCTCTGGCCTGTACCCCAGTTCTGTATGAACAAATAAATAAATCTTTAAAAAAAAAAAAAAGCAGTGGTATGACAAGAGGAAGACACACTGTGGGCCCATCTTTTGCTTTTTTAGCACACAGGTAACAGGTGACTGATAAATGCCTATCTGTTAACTCATTTAAATACATAATTGTAGTTTCTATCAAATTTTGCCTAATCCAAAAAATTTGCTGTCTCCACTGGTCATATGTACAAATGCCTTTTATATTTGCTGATAGTGTATGTATGTTAGTTTTACTGTGTGGTACACAGGTAGATGGATTCATCAAAACTTCTGTCAACTTTAAAGACATGATTTTCAATGCTCATCTCTAAAGATTAATCAATGATTTCTCTTTTCTGAAAAATCAGAATCTAACTGCAAAGTTTAAAATTTCTACTATATCACTTCAAGTAAATAACACTGATAATCCTTCTGCAGTTAAGATATAAGAGAATGTATTAGATATTAAAAGCTATGACAAAAGTAAAGAATCCTTTATTTTAAAAACACATTTGTGTAAGGCTTCTTTAAGTATACTTTAAAAACATTATTTTGATTTTTGAACCATGTTCTACACATTAAAATATAAGACTTAAGGGCCTTCTATGGTGGCACAACAGGTCAAAGCACAGCACTGTGAAGCTGGCTGCAGCTGCCTTCAGCTCAAGTTTGATCCCCGGCCAGGGAGATGACCCACATGGTGCAGCACACCTCTCTTGCCTCTCCTGCTGCTCCCTTCAGCAGTGTACTTTGTCAATCTGTCAGTTCTGTTCCCCACTTTGTCTCTGGTGAATCCTCTCACCCCCTGCACTTCTGACTTGTAACTCTGTATGCACAAATTAAAAAATCTTTAAAAAAATATAAGATTTAAATTAAAAAAGCAAACTCTAAACTAAAAAAATGAAACCCACGAATCATGAAATTGGTTACATAACCAAAGTATTTCAAGTTACTGCTGAATATACTTAAGTGCTGATACATCCTTCATGTAATGTCAGGACACAAGCCACTGCTAAATCTTAAACTTCACTCAAATTTACAGTAGTAGCAACTGGTTGGTAATTTTAAAATGACTATGTACAAGGATAAAACAAATATGTTAACTTTAATAGGCATGCCAATTTTCGTTTAAGACAAAAGAGAAATAGAGCATGAAAGAAAAAAGTTTATGCTAAATTCAAGTTGGATTTATTACTATGAATTTATGATTAAACAAATAAGCAAGCATAGAACAATTCTTAACATCTTGTTTCTGAGAGGAATCAGAAGCAATGACACTCTGTTAGAAATGAATATGCCAAACATTCAGATCTTGGTTCCTATTACCATTTTTCAGTAAAAGAACCAACATTCCTAGGATGAACAGTGAAGAGAGAACTCTAGAGTAAAGAAAGTAACAAGGCAAGTTTGGGTTATCTTATGCCAGAAAGTACTCCAAGACTACAGGTAAACAGAATGTCAAAAAGACACAGGAGCTAGCCTGAAAGGGTTTCTACTGTCTAAATTTGGGACACTTTGATCATTCAAAAAAAATATTAATGGTTATTAAAAAAATGAATGAAACGAAACATGTGCGTTCATAATGGTATCCACCCTTACAAGAAAGAAAAAACCCTCATTTGCTACCAGATAGGTGCTGTATTTCCTAACTTCTTTAAATATCGATAATGAAAGGGAAGAAATTAAGCATTTACTATGCATTTTCAGGAACTTTAGTTACCTCCAGTTAAAGAAAATCTTCCCTATGGACATTTCCAATAAAATAACTTAAGCAACAATAATCAGTGCTTAAATCACTAGACTAAGGTATAAGGTAGTCAGAAAAAGGATGTATCTTTGTAGCAGATAAGGTAGTCATCACTTTAATCCAGTGTCATAATACAGTATCCACCACCTATATGATGCAGTTATCATTACACCTATTAAATATTCTTGCCCAAGAAAGTTTTACTTTAAGCTAATCAACCTTTTCTTCAGTTTGAACTTTTAGCAACAGGAAATTCACGGGGACAGAGGAATAAACTAAATGATACTTTAAGGACACAGACAAGTCCAGAATTTGGCAGCATTCCACAACACAAATAAATGGCTTGGTTATTTGTCAGGGGAAAAAAAAAAAAGGTTAGGTACTATTCTTTTTTGAAAGGCATGAAAGATAAATCAAATGCAATGCATTAATCTTGGATGAAAATAGCTGAGGGGAATGTTTTCTCTGAGACTTTTGAATACTGAGTAGATTTGTATACAAATTAATTTAGAAAGGTGTTGATGCTGTGGTTAAGAGAATGTCATTATTTTCAGGAAATTCGTGCTGAAATATTTGAATGTCAATCTTTGCAATGTACTTTCAAATGGCTACACAAAAAAGGTCACAAAGAGAAAAGGGGGTGACAATATGGCAAAGAAATTAGTCACTGAATCTAGGTAGTGGAGTATGGTTTTTCTCAACTTCCTTAAGACTGATGTTTTTCATAATAAAATTTTAATGAAAGGTTACCTGTTCTGAGAGGTGCAGCAGAGAGTGCATCTAGGTACAAACCTCACCTCTATTACTTACTAGTTGTGTGGCCTAAGGCACTTTACTTAATATCGCTAAGTTTCTCTCATCTATAAAACTCAATAATATGTAAATCATTAGGTTATGAGAATTAAATAACATGTAAAATGCCCTGCAGTATTTCTGTTTACAAAATAGATCTTTCTGGTTTTCATAATTTAGGAATGTAACCATTCTAAAATACAATACGAGGAAAATGTTACTTTATTGTTTTCACATTCCATAGGGAAACTACCCTAGGCAAAATTAAAGTTAAGATAAAGTTAAAAATTACTAGTGCACTGGCAATCTCAAGAAATGGGGAAAACAAAGATTTTTATAGTAATTTTTTTTAAATCCACTAATTCAACTGAAACTTTAGTCGAAAGAAATCATAAAAATCTTTACCTGTCCAAATCGGTGTCTGTCAAATTTTAAAGCTTGATTTTGGTATTAATCTATACCCAAATAAAACAGTTAAGAAAAAGAAGGTCAAGGGGAATGTTTTCCTAACCTCAACATAATCTAGTTGTATGTTGAAAACATTTAAATTTTATTCTTCATTTTTATAAGTTCCACCCAAGTACACAAGCATCGAGCTGTATTCTAAAATTCTGGTTAAGAGTCACAGAACGCAGATGCAATTTCCTTCCTTCAGTTCTAACGTACTTGTCATTTCACTCGCAGGTAACCCCTCGTTCGGGTTAGGCCAGCAGAAGACTTCGACGGAGTGATCCTCAGGTAGGGAAAACAAGAGAGGTGTTCCATTTTTTTTTTTTTTTTAAAGAAGTGCCATCCTTTCCTTCCCAGTAGCAACAGAAAAAAAAGCAACAGGGGAGAAGGGGAAAAACAGTCCAGTCTCCCCGAGGCACGGCCAGGTGAGAGGTAACACCTCCGCCTTCTTTGGACTACGGTGCAGGGCAAATGGGCGTGCAAATGACGGGGAGCGCCCTGGAAGAGCCGGGCAATTTCTCCTGAACTGCCGGGCCCAAGGCTAGTCTCCTCCCCGAAGGATTAAATGCCATGGAGGGAACCCTGTGGGGTGTGCTACGGGAGCGGATTGGGGTGACGAGACCAGGCTTTCCTTCCCGTCCAGCGCCCAGATGGGGGACGCGTGGTGTCAGCCCCTCGGCGGGCGCACCCCGAAAGCACGAGCGGCGCCGAGTAGCTAACCCTGGTCCCCGCTCGCCCTCCCCTCCCCATTACCTGCGGGCGGCGGTGCGGGGGCCCGGAGGCCTGCTGCTCCTCCTCCTCCACCCCGCCAGGCTGAGGCGGCGAGGTGGCGGTGGCGGCGGCGGCGGCGGCGGCGACAGCCCGGGGGGAGGGGGCGGAGCGCGCAGCCCGCTGCCTCTCTCCTCCCCCGGGAGGCTGAGGGGACCCTATCTCGGGCCGCTGCGCCTAGGCCCGTGGGCAGTCTGTGGCTGGGGCATGGCGGCAGACCAGCAGCGTGCCTACGAGGTGGGAGAGTGCGAAGCGGCAGGAGGGAAGCACCCGCCGCGCTCGGAGGGGCCAGAGGGGAGGAGCGACGGGGCCCGGGGAGCCGCGCGCGAGCGGCCGTTGGGGGCGGTTGGCCGAAGGCAGGCGGCGGTTTGGGGAGCGCGGCGACGGCTCGCGTTTTCCCGGCGGGGCGGGGTGGGGAAGGGGAAGGGGAGTGAGGGGAGGGGAGGGGGAGGTTGGGAGGGAGCCGCCGCCGCGCGCGTGCGGGCCGGCGCCGCCGCCGTTGCCGCTCCGCTCACTCCAGCCTGTTTGGGGGCACTTTGTTTGTGTCCCACAATGCTCTGCGCGGGCGGCCGGGCTGGGGAAGGGGAGGGAAGGTGGGCGTGGCGAGGCGAGCTCGGGGGCCGGACTTGGCGGGGCGGGGGCGGGAACTCGCAAAGTGCGCAAGCGCAGGAGAAAATGCTCCGGGTCCGCCCATCTTAAATTGTGGGCCACTGGGTCTCCTTACCGACCCGTGGCTTTGACGTTGTCTTTGCATCCTCGTATATATGAGCTCTTGCAGATTTGTATTAATTGTTGCATAGATACAGTTCAGTGTGTTTCTTTTCTAGTCCTCTGGGCCAGCTCTTTACCTACACCGACAAAAGCATTTTGGGGCTTGGTTCACACTTCTTGAATGTTTTTCTTTGAACTAAAAGTGAAAGAAGCTCTAAGGTTTTCTCCAGTGGTTTCTGTAGCGGGCTAAAACCGGAACACCCGAACTCCTTTCGTCGGTGTAGGAGGTTAACTGCTAGCAGCCCATTTTTCACACTCTGAAACAGGTCTGTGAAGGCATAACCCATCAGACAAGTCAGGGGTGCCCACTGCCTTTGCAGCCAGCCAGCCAACCTGCTTGGGTATCCCCCTATTCCCTATTGCCTTTGCATACTCTGGCATCCTCTTGGTGTTCTAAAGTTGCTTTAGCTTATCAATGGGCAACTTGGCAGCGTATGCGGTTCTACAATGACGGAAGAAACCAATACCCAAGTCTGTTGAGTGGTCCCAGCACCAGGACTCCTGCTCCAGAAGTAACAATTTCTCCACAACTTTAAATCTCACTTTATTACATTGTCACTTCACTGGCCTCTTGGCATGGGAAGATTGTGGGCCACCCAGAGATGAGCAGTACTACTTTAGGGGTCTTAGAGTTCTTGATCAACTGTAAAATTGTGTAAAATGTTAAAGGGTCCCATGACCGTTCTCAGTCTTGCTTCCAAGGCTTAGAAGGGTACTTTCAGGAGGAAGGCCTGCCTGGCCCACAAGCAGAGGTGATCTTGGGAGGTGGCCAGAGGTGTTCTCACAGCAGGGGGTGGGGTGGAAGTACATTAGTGGAGAAGTGCAAAGCTGGTCCTTTGAAGAACTGGATTGGGGCCCCAGGTCTGCAGGGCTAGTGCCTTAGGTATTATGTATTTGCAATCTTTTTCCGAGCCTCCAGCTTTTAAACTAAAAATTTTGCCCCAAAAGACTTGGTGCAATGAGAGTCTAGAATGAATTTTTCTTGGTAGACACTTGGCAACCTCTTAAAATTAATCACTTTTCTGAAAATCAAGCAACCACACACTCTAGCATCCTAATTGTGACTATTGAAATCTACTTTGTAAATAATGGCAGGCCCTCCCTGGTGGCGCAATGGGTTAGGAGGCAGCACCGCAAGGTAGCTGCAGAAGCTTCAGTGCGAGTTTGATCCCCAGCCCTGGAGGTGACCCATATGGCAAAGCAGACCTCTCCTGACTCACCAGCTTCTCCTCTCAGCAGTGTACTTTGTTGATCTGCCTACTCCACTCTGTCTCTGGTGAATCCTTTCACCACCCTTGTACCTTTGGCCTATACCCCAGTTCTGTATGCATAAATAAATAAATCTTTAAATAAATAGATGAATAAATAAGGGCAGAGAAAGCAACCTTTATCGGTATAGTTTTTTGCAGGATTAAAGAAATGTATGTTTAATCCTCACAACAACTTTCATACACAAGTTTTACTTTTTTCCCAATGATGTTGTTTTAATGATAGATATTGGGTTTAATGAGAGGGGGTCCTTGAATTACCTTGAGGAAAAGTTTCAGCAGAGTTAACCTCTCAGTGGCAACTTTACCCAGAAGACAAAGATGTTTGCACAGACATAGGCAGGCGAAGGTGACATTTTAAAAGGACAAGTTTATTAGGAAAAGGGGAAAGGAAAAAAAGAGACACCTGCATAATCACAGGCGAAGAGAGAGCTGCATTTACCATTGTAGAAATTTACTGATACAGTGTTCTTTTGGGGAAGGATTCTTTCCTTGGTGGAATTGTTACCTATTATTAATCACTTCTAGTGTGTGACTAAGTTGATTTGGAAGACTTGGTGATCCTCTATAATGGCCCTGGCATCATATTTCTACCTCTGGTCTGTGCCTCCTATATTTTCTATAGCAGTCTGCTTTATATATATGTGTGTGTGTGTGTGTGTATATATATATATATATATATATATATATTATGCATAGAAGAGTTCAGATGAGATGTAGGCCAGAGGTGTGTATGGGGGGGGCGGTGGTAAGAGGATTCATCAGAGACAGAGTAGGGAACAAAACTGGTAGATTGACTGAAATACACTGCTCAGGGGAGCAGCAGGTGAGACAGTAGAGGTCTGTTGGGCTTTCCTTGAAAGGGGTTCCAAATATGCTGCAGTGGCTACCAATAGCTTCATAGTTCTGAGACTTAACCCCTTTCCACCACCAGGGAGGCACCAGTCTCCTTTTTTAATAGCAGTCTGCACCTAACCATTTTCGTATCTATAGCCGGTTTAAAAACTGCATTAATCATTTCTGCCCCCACTGCTAGTTTCTGGTTCTGTGACACCTTTATATCAAATTTTCTGCTCTTAGTCTACATTACCACCATCATTCTTATTATTCCAATTTAGAGATGAAGAATGCCTGAGAGATTTGAAATAAGCCCCACAAAGTTATGTACTAAGATTTGAAGAAAGGGAAGGGAAGTAAAAGAAGGCTGATGCTTACCCTAAAAATAGAATGGTAGCAATAAAGCTAGGCTCAAGAGGGGACTGCTGGGGTGTCTGTTTGATTGTACAAGGTAAAACCTGGAGAATTAAGATGGAATAAATCAGTCAGAGCACATCTTTGGCATTTAATAAAGCAGTCAATAAGAGATCTTTAGGCAAACCTTTAAGTGTTTCTCAGAGGGCTATGTTGTTAGTTCCTGTGCACGGTGGCAAAAAAAAAAAAAATCAGCTTTCTTAAATTATCTTGTTTTCCCCTCTTTTTTCCTCCTTTTGGGTCATTCTATTTTCCGTTTTAACATGGTATCAATTTCTTAACCACTTCTCTCCCCTGGCCTGAAGAGTCAATTACCCTAAGAAGGGCTCTTGAGCACTGGGGGTTAACAGTGCTACAAATCCGGTGGCTGGTGGGTAAGAATACAAAGGTTAACTCTGCAGGGTGCTCTTCTCTGTTTTGGCTTTGGGCAAGGTCAGTTTCTGTGACTTCTGTACTTCTCACCTTCTCCTTCCGGGGCTAGCTGAGACTTGCCTTTAGTTGGTGGAATACTTACACCCTTCTTTGAAACTAGGTTATAGTATTGCTGGGAAAATTTCATGAAACCAGAACCTAGTACACAGGTGAAACAAACAAAGGTAGACTGTATAAGGAAACTTTAATTATTAACCAAGTGTCGATGATTCTGAGGAATTCAAATTCCAGGCAAAGAGGAGTTTATTTTAGCTATGAGCTGTTTGGAAGACCAAGATCTTGGCCCAAAAAAAAAAAAGTTATTTTCTTGTAGAGAATTAGAACTGAATGAGTACTTGGTTATTTAGTTCACAGTTTATTTCAAAGCAAGAGCTCTTTTAGTGCAACTTGAATAATTCTAAGGGCAGAAAACTCATTACTCCCTAAGTCACCCTTACTCCCTTATTAGGTGGTTCCAATTATATTAAACAAAATTAATCTTGCTCCCCACACTGAACCTTTCATCATCCATTCCCATTTCATCATCCACTCTATTGACAGAGTCATCTTTGCTACTTCACTACTCTGTTCCATTCAATACCAGTCCATCAGCAATTCCTGCTGAATTGTCCCTTCTCATTGATACCATTCATTGTAACCTAAGACATCAATAGCTTGTGCCTAGAAAATTGTAATATCATTTATCTGGTTTCTCAAACATTCTCTGCACGGTAGCTAAATTTATAATGCACAGTGATTTTATTACACAACAGCAGCTTCCTATTGTTCTTAGGATAAAGTTCCAAATCTTTAGAATGTCTTTCACAACACTGCACTGTCGGGCCCATTCACTGTCTCCAGCTTCATTTCTCATTATTCCTTCATGGAACATACCAGTTGCAGATTTTTTTTTTCACATCCTCTAAATTGTCACACTTTCTTCTAATGAAGGCATTTTCCTCTCTCTGTAGAAATACCTCATTCCATAATTAATTCCTCTTAATCTTCAGCTTTCGAACTTTATTGAGATATCATTCACATACCCGAGAATTCATCTATTTAAAGTGTACAATTCAGTAACTTTTAGTGTAGTCAGAGTTATGCATCCATCACTACAGTTTCTTAATATTCTTACAGCCCACAAAGTCATTCATTTCCCGCCAACTACTCAGCCCGAGACAACCACTAATCTATCTACTTTCTGTATCTTCTTTTGACTACATCTGGACATTTCATATAAATGAAATTCAGATCTTGTTTTGACCACCATTCAAGACTGCCTCCTTGATTGTGTTAGGTTTTGTGTTATATATTCTCAGAGCTTCCTGAATTTCCCTAACATTCTTCTAGTTACCACTGTAATTTACTCTTATCATTCAGTACTGTAATGCTAGGACCTAGCACAGTGTCTAGCCTATAATAGGTAATTGAGAAATGTTACATGAATGAATGAATGAGTGTGAAGGCCAATTTTATCACTTAGTAGAATGACAGCTTCCCAGAACCTGTAATGCCAGGAAAGAAGCTTGTATTTCAATTTCTTACCCATTTTTCTAAGCAAGTTGGCAGGATATCCATAATTACAAGTCCATCATTTTTATTTTTGAAAATTCTAGGTCTTTAAGATGCAACAATTGAAATGCAACTTATTATTTAGAAGAGGAATGATGCCATACTTTCTTCTTTCATTTG